CCATCAGGCATAATGAATATTATTTATTTTTTTCAAATTAAATTTTGACTATTTTTATGAATATTTAAAGTTAAATTATGATATAAATATATATACTACGTATAATCTCAAGATATCTCTACTTTCAAAAATTCTCCTGATCACATATGATCTCGAAATGTTTTGAAGAATCTCGTGATCAATTAAAGTGATATTGCAGAAATCACATTTCGAAACAAATAAAATGATAGCGTGCGCTTGGTTGCTTGCTATCACATGCGCTTTACCTCAGCTTTTTGTCTTTCACGTGTATATCCTTCCAAATGGCAGTCCTCAGTGTGTTTCTATTTGGTTAGCACTTGAAGTAGTGAAACTTTTAAAATTGCAGCGTAATTTCAATTCCAAAAAGTTGAAAATTGATAATTAACGCAAAAAAGTACAGGTTAAGACTGTGCTAAATGTGTAAGTAAGTCGATGTTCTACGCTATTTTCTGCTTTTAAGAATTGCTAGTCATTAATGACACTTCAATTGATACGTTAAACTTTTCTTGCATAGTAGTAACGATTACGACACCGAAGATCATCTGTACTTACGTGTTTTATTTTTTGACGACGTACTTGAAATTTTAAAATCTTAGATTAAGAATAAGCCAATATCTCATAATTATAATAGTGTTTTTTGAAATTATGATAAATGAAATGCTATGATGATAATTGAAAATAACAATAATAGCGAAAGATACACGTAGGACAGTGATGAGATTCCGTGAATATGCACGTCATGTAACAGAAGTACAAGTCAGTGAAAACGCAACCGTGGATATTGTGGATAATTTTAATTGCACAAAAGAAATATTTAAAGCAAATGATGTTGATGATTACTTATTATTCAGTAGTCATTTTCTGAAGATTCTTGAGAATGGTAAGTAAATAAATGTGAATTAATTATTCTACTTTCATGAGCTTGAACAATATCTGATTTGATTGATTTAATTTGATGTGATGTTTTGTCCATCTTCTATCAGAATTAAGATACTAGAATGTAATAAGATACGTGTGCTTTAGCGGTTTCAGAATATTTTCCTTAATTAAGAAGTATTATACTTATTAAACTCATTAATTTTTGCATAAAAATAAATTCTACTAGACTTTTTCATGAAATATTTTAGCTTACAATGCGCTTCATTTGTTTTTTATTTGTATATTTCCATACACTGTTGAATTATTCTGCTACGCTTCTATGATAATTTTAATGAAACGGTTTCATTCTGATGGAAATAATGAAAATCGACGCCGAAAACGGTTTTTACGTATTAATTACTTTTATACAAATTTTAATCAAATTTTTTCTTTTCTTATTACTAAAGTATTGAATGTAGTTTTGTATTTAAATTTTTTACTTAAACTTTTTTTTTAAAAAGCTTTAATTTCAGTCTATGTTGCTTACAACGAATGAGTAATATTTACCAAAATTTTAACGGCGATAATTCTGTAATGGATGATAGATTTAGTAAAGAAAGTAAAATTCACTTAAATTTCTTTTTTATACATTTCTATTAGCCATGGCAATAATTGCTATTTATTATAATATGAATGAAAATAATTATAGAGTAAATGATATTTTCTGGATGAGTTGTCATTAGTATTCATTAGTTTAAATGATTAGTTTATCAAAAAAAAACTTTATTATTATTATTATTATTATTATTACTATTATTATCATAGTGTTGATTAAAGTTGGTGTTAACTTTTCTCAGAACAATGTTCACGCAAGAAGCTGATAGTGACTGATAATTTTTTACTTGATAAAAATGAAAGCCAAAAAGAAGAACGATTTATTTGCTTGGAAAGGATGTCTATATTCAAACTTCTTACGCGACCACGTAACAGGCTTTCAAGATCAGAAGCGATCGACCGACGATCATCTGTTGCTTGGAGAAATACAGTTGCGTTAGCTCGACGAAAAACACTACGAAAAGTAACTTTTTCACTATTTTACAATTGACCAATTTATTGATTTCTTTAATAGTATTTTTTGATTTATATCGTTTAAAAAGAGTGATCTTACTGATCAGATCAATCCAATTTCAATCAATAAGTTATTTTGACCAAACTCTCTTTTGTTTGCTTGATCCAAGCCGAACTGATATCCATATTCATTCCTTCGTCTGTAGAAGTATTCTGCGATAAAACATACACTTTTATTGGTGTTCTGTTCTGTTGTAATTTAATGTTATCATTTTTAGTCTCTAAATTTTGAACTTTACACTATTTTAAAATTTAATTACTTCACAAACTGCAAAGTTAAACTTTACAAACTTTATACTTTAATAATTGAATAAGAAACATAAACTTTCAGTATCAAGAAGAATTCTAAAAATCAATTTATTATTTATGAAAAGTTCTCAGAACTTTGATGCTTCGTTTTTTTGCGATTAAGCAGCTAATTTCTGTTGCATGCTTTATATTTTTAAATTTGAATATTTTTTCCAAAACATTTCTCTTAGTGCTATTGATATTTTGTAATTTATTAATAATTATTTCAGGCTTTCATAATGCTCACACTGAATATGATATTCTGGACTCCGTACTGTGTGATCGGTATTCTGAGCACATTTATTGTATTTGACCATTCCAGTTATGATTTCTTGAATGCACTTGTTGTGTTAAATGCTGTTTCCAATTTATTATTGTAAAATATGAAAATTCATTGTTTATTTTATTATTTTCCTGTATAATTTTAAATGTCAAAGATTATGTCTTAAATACGAGTAATTTTTGCAAATATTAAAACAGAAATATTAAATTTTATACTGCGTGAATTTGTTTAACTTACGTTAAAACATACGTTAGAGTGGTTCACTTTAAGTTGTTTATGTGTTGAGATTTTAGGATTGGTTAAGAGTTGTATAGTTACGTGTTTTTTTTTCACAACTCGCAAAAAGCGTGAATTTCCCGTGACCGCAGGTGCAGTTTTTTATTGGAATGGTAAAAACTCAAAATTAAGATCAATTAGATAAACAATTTTGACAAATTCAACAACAGTCAGTAAGATTTGTGGTAGCTATATTTTTAAATATGCTAAGATTCTACTTTTATATGAGATAGTTTTTGGTTCCTAGAAATTGAGCATATTTTTTAAAACCGGTTAACTAAGATTTTATGGATTAACTGTAATTAAAAGATGAATTTATGAACCAAATCTGTATTTACGACGAATTTTGCTTAAAGTACTTAGAATAAGTCTACTCCGAAAAATATGCAAATTAATCAGAAAAATCTGAAAGAACTAAAATTCTTATTAATTATTAATAACTCAAAAATTCAAATTGCAAAATTTTGAACTAAAATTCTTGAAAGAAAAAAAATTCCGTATTAGAACTTTCATCATCTTGAGTAGAGTATTGCTATTTACAATTCCAATTCATAATCGTATATAACTATCAGAAATGTATGAATTTGAAAGCATTCAAACAAAGTTATCTCATCGTGCAATTTTTTTTAACTTTCGAGTAAAATTGCAGTCAAAAAAATCATACTAGAAGCTCATTTTTATCATGAAATCACATTTTAAGAGAAGTTGTAATCGGATTCAAAGGTTTCAAATCAGTTTATGCAAATTTATTAAGAATTAGAATAAAATTTACATTCAAAGCAACGTTTACAGATTTTTTAGTTAGCTATGAAGTTCGACACATGAGCAAATAGTGTCGAAAATGATTAGGCTGAGTAAATAAAGTGACTAAAAATCATAGTCGAACTCAAATTTAAATATCAGAATTTAAATACTTGC